GCGGCGCCCGCCTCCACCTCCCTTTCTCACGCTGGGTCGCGACCTCGCGCCGCCACTCCGCGCCAGGGCTCTGGGCACCGTCTCGGGTCGAGGCCTAACAAACCTCGCACTCCAGGCCCCGACAGCCAGGCGGTGTTCGCCCTCCGCCGTGGATCTGCCCGTCCCCCCAGGACCGGTCTTCCTGGCTTGGTTCCCCGCACCCTGTGGGCCTCAGCTCTCCCCACCCCACCGCGGGGGCCTCGGAAGGGAACGGCAGGGTAAGTAGCCCCCAGCTCGAGCAAATGCCTTCCTTACCGGGGATCTTGACTCGCAGACATGATCCTTAGAAACTAGGGCGGAGCGCCCGCCTATCGACAACTTATAGAGCGCCCGACCCCGCCCCAGCCATCGCATTGGCTTGGCCGCCTGGGCCCCGCCTGCCGGCGCTCAGCAACTCGGCGTGACGTTAGTTTGTAGGCGCTCTGGCACGTAGCCACCATTGGGTAATTGGAGCGCCTATCAAGTTGGTGACCCGCCCCACAGCCTCACTGGCTACTGGGCCCGCCCTTCTCACCGGTACGGAAGTGACATACAGGACTCTGGCCTCGAGGCCAGGCAGCCATCTTGGGGCCCTGCACCTCTACACGTGCGGAGGTGCTAGTGCCTGTCATGTGGCCTCGTAGACCCTATCATGAAAAGGGGGCGAGGTTTCTGCCTCCAGGGACTTCCGGGCTCCCGGGACTACCACTTCCCTTTGCCTTCTGCCCCAGGTGTTCTCTGGACCCGTATTTTGTTCTCCAGCAGAGAGACTGGACAAACGGGGTGTGTTCCAAGTGTGCAGGGAGGATGGGATCAGGAGCCGTACCCTGGCGGCTGGGAAGGCTGTCCTGGCTGGAGGGGGCGGGATGGGATAACTGACTTCCGGGCTTAAGAGCATTGGGGTTGCTGTCTCGATTCCTGGCTGGCTCCCTCCCCTTAAGTGTCCTGTTCCCCAACTTTAGGACCTCTCAGGCTCCCCTATTTTTAAGGATTACCTATGCTCCTTCTTCCATCCTTTGCTCCTCTGGGTGGGGGTTCTTTTTGGTGACTAAGACGTGGTGTTGGCACTGTCTGAGCTAGGGATGGCAAACTGGCCCCTTCAGTCTCAAGTCCAGGGGTGGGCAAACTTTTTGACTCGAGGGCCACAATGGGTTCTTAAACTGGACCGAAGGGCCGGAACAAAAGCATGGATGGAGAGTTTGTGTGAACTAATATAAATTCAAAGTAAACATCATTACATAAAAGGGTACGGTCTTTTTTTTTTTTTTTTTTTAGTTTTATTCATTTCAAACGGGCCAGATCCGGCCCGCAGGCCGTAGTTTGCCGACGGCTGCTCAAGACCCACAAAAGGGTAGCTGACAGCACGGACTGGAGGAAAGCCTGAGGTAGAGCATATCCCTTAAGGAAGACCACCACTATGTATCTCCAAAGGATCCTTTATTGACCAGAGCAGGACCGTGGCATTTATATATATATGTAATTAAAACATTTAAATATGAAAAACCAAAGGGAATTGGGTGGGAGAGGCAGGAGAGGAAAGGAATTGAAGTTTCTTGGGAAGAAGGGCCTCCCATGTCCCCCTGCCCATTAACGAATGGGCTTGAGGCCTGGGATACGAGGCTCACACAGTGAGTTTGCAGTGACACAGCTCCTTGTAGATCTGCCGACGAAGTTTGGGCATGTCCTGCTGGGTGAAGCTGAATGGCTGAGACAGGGCCAGGTGCTTGCAGTACTAGGTGTTAACAAAGCAGGCCATGAGAACCACCTACTGAGTATCGCCTTAAGTCAGGACCTGTGCTACACATTTCAAATGGCATATATCTCATTTGATCTCAGAGAACATTTCACAAATAGAAGAATCTAAGGCCCTATAGCCTGGGACTCAGAAAAAGTCTGACTCTAAATCCAAGATGCTTATTTGGTACATGAAATGCCTAGTATTAAAAAGAAAACGCTTCGCAATGGGGGTGAGAAAGCAGGTATATGCCAGAGACCAAGGATGAGACCAATGTGGGATGTGAAGCCAGAAAAGAACCAATGAAACCAGGATTTCTGCATTCTAACACATAAGATTACTCCCTGCTCCACAAGTGGCTGTGAGACAAATAGGGATGTAGAAGAGCCTCCCATCTCCCCCCCAACCCTTTAATCCAACTGTCATCTGCTTACCTGCAACACAAAGGCGCCACAATCACTGTCATTATTCTGCCTGGCCACGTTCTAGAGAACAGAAAGAAGGTAGGGCCTTTACCTGGTGACTGCTAGGGATGTGACTTCAACTTCTGCCTCCTACCACTATCCCCATCATTAACCCCATGCCCCTTCCTCTAGAAACTTACCATTTTGAAGTAACCTTTCCAACCTTGATGGAAATCCAGCCGGTCTTTCTTCACTGCCTCTGCCTGCAGATACTTGGCAATATGCTATGCAGATGGAGAAATAGAAGAAGTTGAACTCATGGTGTGGTGGTCAGGCACCAAGCCCAGGTTGCTTCTCCAGAGCCCGCCTTTCTGCCTGGAATGCCTTGCCACTGATGTCCTTCCCAATTCTACCCATCTGTCCCCTTCCCTCACAAACCTTAGGGCAGCGGCGGTTTAGGGTGCGCTGCGAGTCAAAATAGGTGATGGTGCGTCGCCTCACATCAACAGAGATGAGGGACCAATGCACCTCCAGGTGGATGGGGATTAGCAGCAGCTCCTTATTGAAGATGTCCACCTAAGGAGGCAGTGTCAGAGGTCAGATAAGACAGCACATGAGTCCTGCCTACTGCCATGAGGTTCTAAAGAATGGAGAACCTGGCTGGCATGTCTCAATGGTTGAGTGTCCATCTATGAACCAGGAGGTCACAGTTCAATTCCCGGTCAGGACACATGCCCACCTGCAGGCTCAGTCCCTAGTCGGGGGGCATGTAGGAGGCAGCTGACCAATGATTCTCTCATCATTGATGTTTCTCCCTCCCTCTTCTTTCCTCTCTGAAATCAATAAAAAGATACTACATTTTTAAAAAAGAAAAAGAATGGAGGAACAGGCGAGGAGCCACATGGGGGAACACAAGACTATCCCCGGAGTACGAGACAAGGCTCAACATCTGATGTCTAGACTCTTGGCTTAGGGAGGAAAGCAAGACAGAGAAAGTGGTATCAGAACAAACCCTCAGCAGCCCAGAATGGCCAGTTATCTTTCACATGTTAAAGGTACAAGTGCTTAGTAGCTAAACTCCCAGGCTCAGGGTTCTAGAACCAGACTGCCAGGGTTCAAATCCACTTTTCCATTTACTAGCTTGTGACCATGGCAAGCTACTTAATATTCCCTCTGTCCCATAACAATAGTAGCAAGTGAATATTTAAACGGGAATTATTGGCAAATGCAGCTGTCAGTGATGTTGTAGCGCAAAATTGCGAAGCCTTCAATCAAAATCAGTGTTTCATGACATCTGTCATTTGTTTTGATGCATCTTTGAATTTTTAGGTTAATTTAATTATTACGAATTATAACTATTTTTCTAATTTCATCCGCTGCCCAGATTCGATTCTGGTCAAGGGCATGTACCTTGGTTGCAGGCACATTCCCAGTGGGGAGTGTGCAGGAGGCAGCTGATTGATGTTTTTCTCTCATCGATGTTTCTAACTCTCTATCTCTCTCCCTTCCTCTCTGTAAAAAATCAATAAAATATATTTAAAAAAAAAAAGAATTTGGAAACGTGCTTCCAAAAATAATTTTCAAGGAGAACCTTATGCTAATGTTGATTCTTTGAAAAACAAAACTGTGGACATAAATGCAAAGATTATGGAGAAAAACTTGAAAAACTTAGACATATTCCTCTTAGCAGAAGAGGCACCATATTAGCCTTTGATAATATTTTTCCCGAAATACTGGATAATAACGTTTCTGTCACTTCAACAAGTTATGCTGGAAGCAATGAAGAACGATGGCTTCAATAATTTTAAGCTCACACATATAGGGAGAGCAAAGCTTCGCCGCCACGGGATCCTACCTACAAGTTTAAAATGCAGTAACGAAATTATTGAAATATCCAGAAACTATCTGAACACTCAAAATAAAAGTTAGGAGTACTATTTTTAATTTATTGTTTAATTTAATATAGTTTTTTGATAATAGATGTTGTGTTCTATATTTTCTTTTGCTACTATTATTATGGGACAAATTATATTCACCAACTGCTACTATTATTATGGGACAGAGGGAGTAACTCTTTTTACCTCAGTTCTCTTATCTGGGGTGAAAATAACAGCACCTATATCACCTATTTGTTATGAGGATTAAACTAAATATCCATAGTGCACTAAGAATAATGTATGGCACCTAGTAAATGTTCATCAGTTAACACAACGATCCTTCAAGGATGTTCTGTTCAACCGAACAATGAGATAACTGCAGCTTGAAAAAGTAAAGTAACTCGCCCAAGGTCATAGGAAAAATGTAGAGGTGGGACCCAAATACAGGCAGATAATACTTTCCCCGTAACAGGCATCATCCTTGACTTCCCTCTTCACTTCCCACATCCAATCTGTCAGAAAGTCCTATTGGTTCTATTTACAAAACTTTATCCTAGATAAAACTACTTCTATTTCTACCATTACCACACTGCTCCGTTTCTCATGTGGGCTTCTGTGCTACTCTCTAAGTCAGCCGTGGGCAAACTACGGCCCGCGGGCCGGATCCGGCCCATTTGAAATGAATAAAACTAAAAAAAAAAAAAGACCGTACCCTTTTATGTAATGATGTTTACTTTGAATTTATATTAGTTCACACAAACTCTCCATCCATGCTTTGGTTCCAGCCCTCCGGTCCAGTTTAAGAACCCATTGTGGCCCTCGAGTCAAAAAGTTTGCCCACCCCTGCTCTAAGTTAATCTGCCTGCTTCCACTCTTGCTCCTTTTCATCTCATCATTGAAATAAGAGTTCAAAACATGAAGCACTTCACAGGCTGCTTAAAACTCTTCAATGGCTTCTCAGTATACATGGAATAAAATCTACCCTATCCTCCATGCCTTACATGATCTATTCTCTGACCAAATTTTGTATCATTTTCCCTTGCTCACTGTTTCAACCACACAGGCCCTGGTCCTCAAATGTTCTCTCTCACTGTGTCCCATGTACTTGCTGTTCCCTTTGCCTAGAACACTCTTCCCCCAAATCTGCACTTGGCCGGCTCATCAAGTCCGGCTAACGGAGGCCTTCCCAGATAACCCAATATGAAGTTCCCACTTCCCACGCTCCTACATTACTCTGTTTTAATTTGTTTGTAGCATTTAGCACTAGCTGAAACTTAACTTGCTTATTTATTCTCACCCTATAAAGGCAATGAAGTTTTCCTTACTTAACACTGTATCCTCAGTGCCTAGCACACAGAAGACATTTGATAAATATTGAAAGATTGAATGAACAGGTTGAGGAAAGAGTTCATAAAAATAGAACTCTAATTCTTTAAAGGCAAGGTGTTAACATAAGTAGATGTAAATTCATAACTCACGTTTTTGGTCCACCTTTTCACCCCATCATAACCCTTGGTGCGGAGTTTATCGTAAAAGAAACTGTTGAAGAAATGCACCTGTGCCAATGATAGAAAAGAGCTGGATGGAATTAAAAACCTCAGGCCTCCAGTGTCCTCTCCTTTCATTATGGCTCTAAAGACTGCTTTCAACAACCTGCATCCCAACTGACAGAGAAAAACCCCCAAACATGTTTGTAACTTTATCTTAGAGCTTCCTATCCCAATTTGTGGGTTAGCCATAGGGGAAAAACACTAAAGACTGGGGGAAAGAAATAGACTTGTTAAATTCAGGACCAAGACTATAGATTTAAATTTAACAGATTACCTTCTACCCAGAAACTAGGACCCTCTTTATGTAAAATGGGAGATGAAAGGGACTGAAAAGCTGCTCAGAAATGTGGAAATTCCCCTGGGAACTGAAGTACCTGGTAGGCCTACCTTTTCAGGGACTGTGTCCATGACCAGGTCTCCATACATGTTCATCACCTGGGGAGAAGATGGGAGGCAACTTGCCATGGAGGGTGTGATATAGGTACAGGGGTCTTCCCATGAAGAGGGCCCCAGACACCCTGCTCCCTCTTGGGCCTGTTTCTCTCCTCCTCACCTGGTCATTGAGCCAGTTCTGTCCATACAAGGTCCCCAAGTCATCCATGGTCAGCACATGCCGCTTATAAGCCACTCGGAAGCCCCTCACCATGGCATTGCCTGGCATCCGCTGGTAGGACTGGATCAGCTGTAGCACCAGGCCCTTCCTGAGTAGGCCAAGGATGGAGTCACTCAAAAGACAAGGGGGCTAGGGCACACAGAAGTCCCTTCTGTTGTCTAGCATAAGAGTCTAATCTTCCCCCCTTTTCTGGGTCATGGGTCCCTTTTGAGACCTGCTAAAGGCCCACTCCTCAGAAAGAAGCACACGAATACTCAGGTACACACAGTATTTCAGGATTCCAGGTAAAGACCCGCCCAGGCACTTTGCCTGCAGATTACCCTGCTTCAGTTCTAGCTTCCTCCTCCTCCAAGAACATCCCTATGACGGAAAAAGCAGCGTTCTCTGCCCACCCCCTAAATCCCAGCCCTCTTCTAAAGGGCATCGCTTTGATGCCTCACCTGGAAGGCGTAGAAAACTCCTGCTGGAAAATGTCCTCCAATTTCTCTACTACCTCATCAGTGCTAAGGGGGATGAGGCTGCCGTAAGTTTGAAGGAATTCATCTAAGATGCCTGAATGCAGGAGGCAAAGAGTACTAGGGTAAGACTTCCAGACTCTGATCTAGGCGTCTGTTAAGGAAAGAGTCCCTAGGGTTCCTTACTCTGCACGCAGGTCACATGCTCCTCCCGTAGGGGGCTATGCTGGCCAGTTTTCTCCCCGGGCCGCTCTGCCTCTTCTGCAGTGTCCAAATCTGAGCCCTGAAAAAGCTCCTGGGCCACATGGTCCCCGATGCTGCACACATTACTGATGAGGATGCTGGCATCAGGGGGTGCCAGACTCCGGTCCCCTTCTGGCCCAGATGGTCCTCCAAAGCCATTGGGCAGGGTACAAGAGAGGAGGCCTGTAGGGCAGGGGAACAGGATGGGGATGAAAAACTGGTTCAGATCAAAGGACAATGGGAAGATCAATATAAACTCTTAAGGAGAACCTAAAGCATGAGATAAGCATGTCCAAGAGGTTATACAGGGATAGAGAGGAAGAGTTACTAGTTAACCTTTGAACTATGTGGGGGTTAAGGAGACTACATCCCCCTCACACATGTATAACTTTTAACTCCCCCCCAAACTCAGCTGTCCCATAGTATCTATGGGGGATTGATTCCAGGATCCCTGTGGATACTAAAATTCACATATGCTCAAACCCCTTATGTAAAATGGTAGAGCACAATGCATATAATCAGGCTTTTGCCTCTGTGGATTCCCAACTGCGTACTGAAAATAGTCTCTGAACTCTAGCCGTTAGCTCAGTGGTTAGACCATTGGCTTGAGGACTGAAAGGTTGTGGTTTGATTCCGGTCAAGAGCACTTAATTCGATTGCAGACGCAAATTCAGCCCCAGGACCCGGTTGGGGGGCACAAGTGGGAGGCAACCAATCAATATGTCTTTCTCACATTGATGTTTTTGTCTCTCCCTCTCCCTTTCATTCTCTCAACAACAACAAAATTTTAAAAAAAATATCCTCAGGTGAGGATAAACAAAACAAAAAAAGGTCTTTGATTCATGAATGTTTGAATCCCCAGATGTGAAACTCACAGACATGGAGGGCTAACTTCAAATATAAGTGGACTCACACTGTTAAAATCTGTATTAAGGGTTAACTGTACTCATAGGAAAAAAACAAGACTAGGGAGTCGGAGAGATGCACCTAGCACAGTACCTGACATATATAGCAAAGGCTCTCAATAATTAGTAAAACCACAGCCTAAGTTGTTTAGTGTGATTCTCCAAAAGAGAAATATTCTGAATGAGAATGCCACACACAACCGTACAGGTGATGTGCACCCCACAGCTCAGAGATCCCGTCCCACCACGATGAGAATGGCACCTCTGGAGATGCAGCCGCAGGGCCTTTACCCTCAAAGACTGAACGAAGAAGAGGGACTTCAAGTGGACAAGACTGACCTTTCTAAACCATGTCTCCCCTTTCCATCTATGCACAGAATGAACACCTATCTAAGGATTCTGTATCCCAGCCTTGACTACCTCCCCTCAGTTCCTTTTGAAAGTGGGGCTTAAGACATTTCACAGCTGTTCTGGACACCACCATCACCACCCTCGCCCTCACTCTGCCCTCCTACTTTCCTTAGGCCGTTTTCATCACAGCAAGAGGCTCCTGGTTCTCTAGAATCTTAGCCTGCCCCACCCCTTCCTCCACCCTATTCCCACCTTACCCGAGTTAGGGTCCAGAGGAGACTTTGGAGTCCACCTTAATCCATCTTCCTCCATGGGGGGCCCAGAGGGCACTGGTGGAGACCCTCTCACCCCATCCTCAGCCATGAGAGCACCTAGCAGACCCAGCCGAGGGGGAGGTGGCCCCCTGGGGGAGTCAAAACGACAGCAGGGGGATGGCACCTGTGGTGTCGCACCCCCTTCCTGGGGTGAAAGATGGTTCTTGGGGTGTGCAAGGCTCCGCCGCCGGCCCCGGTGGCGCCCCCAAATCTTCCAGTGGAATGTCAGCGAGGTGCTTTTTGAGTAGAGCAGCATCTGGAAGGCTCTCATAGCTCTACGACGGCGCTGTGAGCAGGTTTTTCGATGAGTAGGGCGGGGAGGGCGAGGGCGCTGGATGGCTCCCAGCTGACCCCATCTGGGGGGCAGCCTCCAAGCTGCCACTTCATCTTCTTCATCTTCCTCCTCCTCCTCCTCCTCTTCTTCCTCTTCACTAGCTGAGGCATCAAAAGAAGGCCGAGGGACAGGGAGGCGTCTGGCTGGCACTGTGGTCCCTGACCCAGGATCTGGCCCAAACCCGCCACCTGATTTGAGTCGAGGTTTAGGGGGTGGGGGCCAACGAAGCCGCTCTCGCCTAGGGCTTGAGTAAGCTGGAGCTATGCCAGGTCCTGAAGGCTCAGGCCCCCAAGACCCGGTCCCTTGTATAGTCTCTTTCATCTTCCAATAGCCTGTAAAACAAAGGAGTGTCAGAACCTACACATTCTGTACCTGTACCCTGGATCCTGCCTTTCTTCCTCAACATGCCTGTTCTGGAATCAGATGCAAATAAACTAGGATTCAGAGAAATGTGGGGCGGGGGGGCGGGGAGAGACACACACAAAGGTAACTTCAGATCTTCCTGGTTAACATGGTCCACAAGGGACCCTCTACCAACTGTGCCATCATCTCTCCCCTACCCAGATAGAGGCAAAGGAGAATGGCTAAAGCAGAAGGCCTTACGGATCTTATTTGGTCAAACCCAAAAATTTCAGGCTCTATTTTGCTGTTTTAATGCCACCAGGAGTGGTATTAAAGGATATGGCTCAGCCGGGGAACACTGACATGGTACATGCGAACACAACTTCCAAAAGGAAACGGTGGTCTAGAGAGGGAAGAAGTGGGGGAGCGCGAGCATGCTCAGACCGCCTCGGGAGGGAACGAGGAGGCCGGAGCTGTGGTGCAGGTGGCAGATCTGATGCCAAGGGAAGCATGGCACAGGCAGCCGAAGGAGAGCCAGGGGCTGACGAAGCGCCCGAATCCGGGCGCCGGGGAAAAACGGAGCCGTGCGGCCAGGCTGGCCCAGCCCCCTCCCGCGGTCCCCGGGGTTCTCTCATACTTCACAACCAGGACTCCAGGTTCTGAATAATTCTGACCAATAGTCTACATTAAGAAATTATATCCAAATTAGCCATCCAATAATGGAAATAATTATTATTTTCTATTTCAGCAATGACATAGATTTTTGTAATATTACAATTTCAAAATACCTGTGGAATTACA